CAGTTTTGAATAGGTAAGACTATGCACACGTATATAGGGAGCATATGCTTGTGTGCGTATTTCACCGATAACATTTATATGTGTTTGTAGCGACACCAGCGCCGCCTGGAAGTCCGGGGGTGAACTAATTTTAGTTGCAGCCGTAAATACGGGAGTTCGGAGGGCCTGTTTCGGCCCCGAGAGGACCTCCTAGGAGGTCCGGACCGGAGCACCGGAGCTCTCGACGCCATTGCACTGCGTCATGATCTGGCAGCTCCCATTGGTCCAGCGGCCGTAGGCGCCTAGCCTCGTCAGTCCCGTGGTTGACCCGAGGTGACCAAGCTAGTGCGCGTTCATAATCTCTGCCGGTGCTTCCACGGGGATTCCGAACGCTAGCCTACGCGGCACCGCATTCTGCCTTTGGCAGCCGATTCCGTCCAGGTTCGCGGCGCTACCCAGGCTGGCCAGGATTAATCGTCGTCTCGTTCGCTGTTCGGTTCTACCTCGGCGTACGAGAAGACGAGCCGCGTGAGGCAAGCGGGCAGCAACTCCACCGCAGCGCGAAACACCGCAGCGCGTTTGAATAAAACACCGTCAGCCCAATCGGGTCAATCCTTTCCCGACTCTTGCGTTTGCGCTCCGACACCGCGCCGTTAGCTTGTAAGACCGCGTAACTTCTGTGACGGACCGGGTTCCGATCGTAGCAAGTAAGTCCTGTAAATTAGGCTAACAATAAGTGCGAAATGGCTCCACGCGTCTAACCACCAGACGATCTTCTGATTATAGCTCGCGAGGCAGGAGACTACCGCCGCCCGACCAACCCGGCACACAGTGGGGCGAATCGACTGAAAATCGGATATTGGACAAAAAATTGAAGGTTCATAAATTTGATTTCCGACGAAATTTCCGTTTAATATATATCTTAAATTATAAATAAATATACTTAATATAAATATACTTAAATATACTTACTTTTTTTATTTCATCTTTTCTTGTTAAAATAAATTAATGAAATGTGACATTTTCGCAGATAGTGAAATTTCACTAATTTCAAAAATTACTTTTGTAAGCGTTAGGCCTTGCTTAGTTGTTTCTACGTCGCAGAGGCACGGCTAGGGTGTTTGTGTGGATTTTTGATAGACTTCGGAAGAGATTCTCGGCTACAAGAGAGAGGATAGGTTCTGCAAAGAGCCCGGTCCGCGAAGGTCTGGCTGCTTCACTAGGAAGGTTTTAGCGTGGTAGAATCAGAGAGCCTGGTCCGCGAAGGTCCGGCTGTTCTAAGGAAAGGTTTTTGGTGTGGTGGAGAGCCTGGTCCGCTGAGATCCGGCTGCTCCGAGGAAGGTCTGGCTACGGAGGTTTCCAAAAGCCTAACTGACTTCTTGGGTAGTTTTGGCCGGTATTTATACTAATTCTAAAAGCTAGCTTCGTCCAATCAGGGGTGCGTATGATCGAGCGCGAGGGTTTTTTATGACCGTACCTGCGAGTGCTCGGCGCGCGGTGGACGCGATATTCGTACGGTTTACTTAGCTACACTTAATTATATTTTAAACGTATTCGCGCTACACTTTCTAATTTTTTGTAGAGAATACAACTGCCTATATAAACTAAATGCCTACTAAAACTTATGTGATTGGTTCTAGAAAACATATTTATTTTTATTTTATATTATTTGAGTACAACTATATATTAATAAACATATAAGAAATTCGGCAGACAAAAAATTTTTTAATTAAACTTCATAGACGCATAAAGTTTTTGGAATAAGATGGAATAAGATAAACCTTTTTTTATTTAATAGGCCAAAGCATATAGGTTTTGTACATGTTTGAATTTTATTCCCCTTCATCCCCCTTCTGTGAAAAAATGCACATTTTAATTGAACTGACCTACATTTAGCCATTTTCTAAACAATATTGTAATGGATTAAGAGAATATAACAATACATTAAAAGTTTTTTTTATATATTTTTATAAAATATGAATAATCACACACACACACACAAGACACACACCAGGCATACTTTTCATGAATGTAAATATGTTTTCAGTATTTTCTGGATATTCGTAGTTTATCTCCTGAGCATCTTGCTGCTATAAATTAATAACTTTCAAATTGAAACTGGCATTACTATGAGTAATTGTTGAAAATTATTTCTTAATACAAAGTACAGGATTGCCTCGAAATAAGCAAGTGGTCTCTGCTTCGTAATAAGCAAGTGTTCGGTCCCGAGCGAGTTGCTTATTTCGAGGCAATCCTGTAGTACAGAATTCCGTCCTAGAGGGACGCGCGGTTAAACATTTTTTTATCCTACAATATTTAATTTTTATCAGTACTTAATTCTATTCTAATATCCTAGTTCTCGTTTGTGACAATTATTTAAAATGGAAAATTTTGGAACAAATCGTCGACTTTTTAATTATTTGCGTGAAAATAAACTGAATTTATCAGATGTCGAAGCTTTAATAAGCTACATAACATCATTTATTCATACAAAGTTATCCAAATGCGCGTCAAAAGCATTGAGACAAAAAATTGCAAATTTTACAAACACCTTGAAGACAAGATGGTTTTCTAGTCGTTATGATTACAATAAATTTATTATGAAAAATAAAAATTGGTTAGATTCCAAATTTTCTTATCCAAATGAAATATTAAATTCAATTCCTACGTCTTCACGTATGCCTCCTAGATCAAATAGTTTTGCAGATCTCTCCGAACGATATAAAAGGAAAAAAAACTGAAAAAGTACGAAATAATTCGGAAATAATTGATTTTATTGTTAATAAAAAATTAAAACCTGATGATGCATTCTTCATATACGATTTTATTCAGAAGCATCCCGAACATGTAAAATGGATTAGACAATTCTATGAAGAAATCGAAAACGAAACAGATTTGATTGATATAGAGACTGCATTAAGTACTTTTATTTCTGCAAAATTGACACGTTTTCAATATAATATTATGACTCGGAGTGCCCCAACCCCCGAGAGGGGCGCGGGGAACCAGGACGACCTCTGGTCGTCCAGGCTGAGCCCCAATCGAGCGCGTCTCCGGGTGGCAGATAGGAGGACGACCGGGCGCGTGAAGTGGGCCCCGAGTACCGTGGATCGCCTCTGGCGACCGGGATACGGGGAAGGTGTGCCTACGGAGTGCCCCGGCCAACGGGTGCTATAAGGGACCCCTGAAGGCCTAAAAACCCTTGGAGGGGAACTAAAGCCCCGTCGCGGACCAGCTCCCCAAGCTAAGGTGTAAGCAATCGTGCCGAGAGCTGGATGGCACAGGGGTAATGGTGTCACGAACGATGCCCTTGGGGTACCAGGCGTTCCTCCATTGTATCTAGCCTTACCCCTGCAAGCGGGCTCTGTAGGGGTGGACCTATATTTCCCGACTACTCGTGGGACATACATGGACAAAAATAAAAACAGTAACAACTACCCGGAAAACACTCAGACAAACTCGGACACAAACACGGACACGAACATGGACACAAACATAGTAACAGAAACCTACACGAACCCACCCGGTAGTGGGCTGGTTGAGGAGGGAAGGGACCCAATCTTGGGGACCGCCTCCGAAACACCTCTGACGGGTGGTTCTGGGGGGAGCATGTCCGTGGTAGGCAAGGTCGCAACCTTGCCGGCTCTGGGCTTGCTTACCCTCAATGAGGAGCCTTCCTCCGGCGCAACCAGGGACGACCAGGGAGAAATCCCGGAACCGAACCCGGAAGCACGGAAGAAGGTAAAGCTCAGCGGAGCAGCCAGGAAGAAGGCCCGTAGGGCGCGCTTAGCGCTGCCAGGGACTTCCGACGGGACTGCAACCGCTGAGACCACGTGCAAGGCGGGGATGGCCCCGGCGACGGTCGCTGCGAGGGGGGGTCCGATCATCGGGAAACCCCGCGTAGAGACGTCGCAGGTGGGCGGCAAAGGAACGGATGGTAAGGGGCTCAGAAGGACCTGACCATCCGTTTCCCCAAATACCCAGCCTTGCGCGAAGAAAAGACAAAGGGTCTTTCCTTCGCCAAAAAGCTTTAGCGAGACGCTGACGGCGGAGAGGAGGCTGGCGATCGCGCCGGCCAACTACCCGAACTCAACCCTCACTGAGGCGCAGGCCTCCGCCATCGAGCAGGCGATTGTGGGAGCGTTGTGTGGGCTTCAAAAAGGGTAGACCATGCCGCGCTTCGACGAGTGCTGGTTCGGAGGAGGCCTGCTTCTAATGACCTGCGCGGACTCCGGAGCGGTGGAATGGCTGAGGGCCATTGCTACCAGGATCAAGCCGTGGGAGGGGGCGGACCTTCAGGTGCTGGATGGCCGGCGCCTCCCTCAGCTAAAAAGGATGGTGACAGTCATCCCCGGTCCTCCGGTGGCAACGGAGGTCATATTAAAAATGATGGAGGGTCAGAACCCGGGGCTCCACACTAACCTGTGGAGGGTGTGGAGCAGGAGGGAGGGACCGCATTCTGTAACTCTCGTCCTGGGGGTTGACCCTGCGTCACACAGCCTCATCAAGAGGCAGGGTTCTGAGGTCCACGTGGGGCTACGCAGGGCACTCTTCAGAGAGGGACCTGCCGAGACCACGGAGGATGCGAGGAACCCTGACAAGGTCGCCGGGAATAAACCGGGACCAACAGCTCCGGCGATGGAGGAAGGGGGGGCGGGGACGAGCGGTGCGGATGGGGGAGAGGTGGAGCCCAGGGCGCTGGCAACGGCGACCTCGGAGACCCTCGCCCCCTGCGTCGAAACCCTCCCACCCGCCCCACCCAAGGGAGGTAACACAGAGATGGCGGCTGCCGGACCCTCACAAGGACCGAAGGCCGCCGGAACTCAACCTCTGTCCGGTGGGAGCATCCCCAAGGCAGTAATGCCAAGGGGAAGGCCGACTACGGCGGAGGCGACGAAACGTACCGGACTTCTGGGTGTGCAAAAGGGGAGTCAACGTACCCCGACGCACACACTGAAGGCCGGCACCAGGGGAAAGAGAGGGATGGGCCCCAGTAGGGGCCTACCTCACAAGTAGGCGTAATGGGCCCCGGCGGGGAACATAACACGCCTACTCCGACCAAGCGAGACCGGACCACGTCTGACACCAACAAGGTGCCAGATGGTACCAGGTTCTCGAAGACCAACTTGCAACATTGCAAGGTGGCAACGGACATTCTCCTGTGCCGCCTAACGATGGGGCAGACAGATATAGCCCTCATACAAGAACCTTGGATTCACAAGGAACGTGTAGGAGGGCTAAACACGGGGTGCGGCTCACTCTACTATGATGCCAAATCCACAAGGCCCAGGGCCTGTATCTCCGTCAAGAAGAAGATAGCGGCCCTGAAACTTAATGAATTCTGTACAGCTGATCTTCCAGCGGTTAAGGTTAAACTTAACCTTGGTGGGAATACGTCAGAGCTGGTGGTATGCTCGGCGTACCTGCCGTATGACTCCGAGGAACCTCCACCTACGAGGGAACTCAGGGCTCTGATAGATCACTATGCTGTCAACGGTCTGCACCTGGTGATCGGTTGCGACGCTAACTCGCACCACACCGTATGGGGCAGTACAAATACCAACGGCAGAGGCACAGCTTTGCTGGAGTACCTCGCCATCACGGGCCTGGAGATCCTCAACAAAGGCTCCTCTCCCACCTTTGTTACCTCCCGCAGACAGGATGTGATTGATATGACCCTGGGCTCCGCCAAGGTGACACAGGTCATTAAACACTGGCAGGTACGGGACGAGAGCACACTCTCGGACCACCGCCTTATTACCTTCGAACTAACAGGTGACAGGGACGGCGGCACTGGTGAGGCCTACAGGAACCCAAAGGCCACCAACTGGGCACTCTATAAAGAGGGCCTGGAAGGGAGGCTGGAGGGGAACTGTCATCGTCCCAGGACCATAGGCGAAATTGAGCAAGCGGTGGAGCATCTGAGCTCCGCCATTACTCAAGCCTATGAAGCAGCCTGCCCGGTCAGAATCAGGAACAGAGCCCAGGAAGATTCAAGAGCCCAGAAACTGACGGGATCTTCCCAGCACTCCTACAAGAGGGCGGGGAGAACCTGTACAGGCGCCTGGGCCAGGTCTTCAAATCCTGCCTAGCGAAGGGCTACGTACCCAAAGCCTGGAGATACTCCAAGGTAGTGTTCATCTCGAAGCCAGGGAAGGACAACTATGACCTTGCCAAGTCGTACAGACCCATCAGCCTCACCTCTTTCTTGCTCAAAACGCTGGAGAGGCTGGTTGACAGCTACATCAGAGATGAGGTTTTGGCCAGCAAACCGCTGCACCCCTCACAACACGTCTACCAAAACGGCACATCCACCGAGACGGCACTTCACACGACAGAACCTGGTAGGTTCCATCGAAGGTGAACTGTCGAATGGTGAATCTGCTCTCTGCATCTTCCTCGTCATCGAGGGGGCGTTTGACAACACCCCCCACGATGCTATACAGGAAGCCGCGATGAGATACAATATTAAGGACTCCGTCGTAAGATGGATCCACAATATGCTGACGAATAGAACAGTCACAGCAAGCCTGGGAGAGGAGACGGTGAGGGCCGACGTCGCGAGGGGCTGCCCGCAGGGAGGAGTCCTGTCCCCCCTGCTGTGGACCCTCGTGGTTGATGAACTCATACGTACACTCACCACAGAAGGCTTTGCGGTTCATGGTTACGCCGACAACCTTACGATCACGGTCAGAGGCAGACACCCGTTGGAATTAGCGAGGAAGTTGCAAAAGGCTATCACACTTGTGGAATCCTGGTGTCGATCACACTCGCTCTCGGTAAACCCGAGCAAAACGGAGTTGGTCCTATTCACAAGGAGAAGACGCTTCTATTTTAAGGCTCCTCATCTCTTTGGGACGCAACTACAACTCACAGATGAGGTAAAATATCTTGGTATCACAGTAGATAAAAAACTCACCTGGAAGAACCACGTGAACAGACAGACCCAGAAAGCAATCAGCACCTACTGGGCCTGCCGCAGGCTGTTTGGCCCCACATGGGGACTCAAACCAAGGATGATCAGGTGGATATACCAGGCCATCCTTGAACCCATTATAACATACGCCTCAATTGTGTGGTGGACCTCTATGAAGAGGGGAGCACACAGAGGGACAATAGAAAGAATATACCGAATAGCGTTGCTGGGGATAACAGGTGCGCTTCCCACCACGCCCACTATGGCTATGGGTGCGCTGCTCGACATCAAGCCACCCCACTTAACAGTGATGGCAACGGCTTGGAGAGCGGCCATCCGCCTGCACCAAGCTGAAGAATGGTGCCCGGCGAGCGACGGGCACACCGAGATCCTAAAGGATCGGGGATCGGAGCTAATTTTGACCCACGGTGGTGACCGCTGCAAGACGGAGTACCTCTTCAGACGAGAATATGACTTAAATATCCCAGATAGGGAGAAATGGCTGGAGGATCCTAGTGGCATCCTGACTCCGGGGGGGGGGGCTGGTCTGGTTCACAGACGGCTCCAAGACCGGATCTGGCACCGGAGCCGGGGTAGCGGGGGAGAGCCCAAAGGTTGAAATGACCTATAAACTGGGCCACCACGCTACGGCCTTCCAAGCAGAAGTGTTTGCCATATGGGCCTGCGCCAAATATAACTTGGAAAAAGACCATTCGGGCAAACACATCTACTGCGCTTAGAGCCCTCCATGGAGTGGAGGTAGGGTCTAAGCTAGTCAAGGACTGTGCACTGACTTTGAGACAGCTATCTCTGAACAACAGAGTTAAGCTGCTATGGGTACCAGGTCACGCTGGTATCCCAGGTAACGAGAGGGCTAACGAATTGGCACGACTGGGGGCGACAAGCTCCCAGCCATGCCATGAGTACCCCATTGGTGTCTCAACCTATGCGTTGAAAGGCCTGGCTAAGGACTGGTTGAACCAGGAATTCACCAGGCTCTGGCATAACGCTAATGGCATGAGACACACGAGGGCCCTATTTGAGGGACCGTCACAGAAGCTGGGTGACATCCTAATTCATCTGGACAGGGCGCGACTGCGCATGCTCGTGGGCCTAGTGACAGGACACTGGTACACGAAGAAACACCTCGCGCGCATGAGACTCACAGAAGAGACAGTATGTCCGAGGTGTGAGGAAGGAGACGAAACACCTCTCCACGTACTTGTAAGATGCAGGGAACTAAGGGCCCTAAGAGGATCAAATTTTGCTTCAGAAGCCCAGCTGCCAAGGCACAGCCAGTGAAGAGGCTGCCTGCGCCCGGCTAGCCTCAATAAGATTAATAATAATAATAATAATATAATATAATATTATCCGTGACGTCACAAAATTAAAATTTAAAAAATTACCTAATTATTACCAAATTCAATTATCAAAAAAGTATTGTCTCCCACAGCGAGAAACAATAGAAATTTGTGAGTTAGGTGTTAAAGTCTGTCTACAAAATCTTTTAAATCATACTGCATTTCGTTTTATTAAACTGTTATGTCCTTATTTATATGCACCTGCAAAGGGTATAGCCGGATAAGATGGTCAAAAGTGCCCCCAAACCAAATTCGACTTGCTATGAACCATTCGGTAGGTGATA